ACGCGCGGAGAACCGCTGCTGGACAGTCAGGACTATCTCCAATTGGACGTATTTCTGCCAAACGGAACTATGTGCATTAGACATGAGCCCTGATACTCGTAAGAATACATGCATAACAGGGCTCACGTCATAATGCACATAGTTCCGTTTGGTAGAAATGCGTCCAATTGTGAGTCGAAAACGCATAGCACGGAGCGCCATACAGTGGACCGAGTCAATAGGAGAGGTCGGACAAAATTTGGAGACTATGAAAGCTTATATCCTCGAAAATATGAAACAAAGAAGTTTAAAAGTGGTTTCATTGGTTTTGCTGTGAAATATCCTTACAGAAACACCCCCTGAAATTGAAATTGTGACGGAAGTAACATCAATAATTGTAATTTTAGCCAAAAAATTCATGTCCGATCTCTTCTAACATTTCGATACACTGTGCGCCACCGACATTACACGATACAATGCAACGAAAAGTGGGGCGGGCACGCGACAAACTTGCCGCTATCAATCCGTCCGTTTCCTTCAAAAATTCCTCCCACGATTTACTTAATACTTTGTTAAACTGGGCCGCTTTCTTGAATTTCAGTTCCGACGAAACTTGGACTTCTTGAGAGCTGCCAACGTTAGGCGAATTTCCGCCGATGGATACGATTAACTTTAAGCGAATTTTATTTTGTAGGAGAGGGGGTTCCTCGGGGGGGGGNACGGGGGGGGGGCGATCCGCGATGAATGAGTGAAGGGCGGTTTAAATAGTGGTGTCCAGAATTCTTCATTAAATATACATTCCTAGATCCAATCCTTCTATTCTATAGTTTTGTCCGTTTTTCTCTTGCTCCGCTAGAGAAAATTTAGTTAGATTTTTCACGGAAAAAAAGAGGTAGCGGTTAAGCCCCAATTCGGACATTTCCAATTAATTGATTGTGGACCCTAATAAGTTGCATTACCAACCACCCGAATGTTGCGCCGATACAACCAAAATTGATTGGAAATGTCCAAATCCTCCAACAAATTGGGATAGTACTACAATTTTAGGGGATAACCCCGGACACTTTTTTCCGTATTCAGAGAAAAAATATGCCATAAAATAGATACATAGGAAATATTGAAACGAAATGGGGGGGAGGGGGGAGAATTATTAGATTTGTTTCCTTTAATTGACTCTTCTAGGGAGGAACGGACCACCCAATTCAAGAATTATAAAACCTAAGGTAGAATGATAGGAAATGCCCTGTTTCCATCGTTTTTTCTCCTAATCTATCCCTTGATTTTTCCAGATATTTTTCGTTCTCTGTTGAGTCCCGGTTTTTCGAATTTTACCTGGTCCTAGACACCAAGATTATAAGAATTTCTCTAATCATGAAAATACCTCTTTAATCACACCAAAGAGGGGACAGAACAACCGATTTGTCTCCGTTGATTGCAATGCAATCATACAGAGCGCTGTGGAATGATCCGAGGAAACGTGGTAAAATTCCCCTTGGATCAGGGTTGCCAGCCGTTTAAAATTTCCCGCGGAGGGTATCGAGAAAAGAGAGATTTCTCCTGTGATCTTGGCAAGCCTGTCGCTGATAATACTTCATTTATCCGTGTTAGTTTACTCTTGTTTGGAAAGCTCCTTCGACCATTCCGAGTCGGGCATGAGCTTTTGAAATGGAACAGCGGCCCTCAATAAAGAAGGAAGCAAGGAGGCTGGAAATCTGATTGGAAATGCTTAGAAAAATTCTGGAATTTTATTGATGGACAAAGTTTCTACAGAGAATACATATGAAATTTCAATGGAACCTAGGAAATTTTACAAGATTTGAACCGAGTTTATCGGAGAGGAGCCAACCCTCATAAAGTTGAAATTGAGAAAAAGAGGTTTCAAGTTTTATTCCTCCATAAGACTCAATGTGGAAAATAAACCTGAACCCCTCTTTTCACTAACTAATTTTTTTTCGACTTCGAGCTTTTATCAATGGAAAGTATATGACTAGTGGAACTCAAAAACATTCTTCACTCAATTTTTTTGACAAAAAGGGTAGATTCCTTCCTGCTAAACTCGGTCCATTTGAGGCATGCATAGAACAGTTTTTAGGATTTGTTTCCCAGACGATTTTGAGGTATTCCGATTATCAATCTAAACGTCTAATCTAATCGCAAATAGTTGCCAACCAGCAACAAATCGAGTTCAGGTCCGACCCCAAAAAATAGAAATGACCATTTTATCCCATGGACCCTGTTGGGGCTAATTAAGCTTCAACCCAAGTATCCGTAGTAACGGACTTTATAAAGACAAACGCATTGTCAACCTGTAAACCTGTGTGAATGAAGTCCTGCATTATTATTAGTTAATTAATTATTTAATAGTTTTGATTGGTGTTAAATATAAGCGATAGACCCCACAAATTAGGGCCCAACGCCAACTTATCTTCTTCTGCGATGAAGGGATGCATTATGAGAAAACATTGAGTACCTGGGTCCGCCGTAGTAGTCATAGTATTCCGGGGAGACAGCCTGGTAGGCGCCGTAGGGGCACGGGGGCTGGAGCTGGGGGTACGACGGGACGAGGGGGAGCGGGGGGACGGGGGGGTAGGCCCCATGACCCCATGGGTGGGGGCACTCCATGCTCCCCTGCATGTCCGACCCGGCCCCCGGAAAACTCCGCTGCTCCACCGTGACTAGATGAGGGCAGCCTCGGTTCTGTCCCAGGGCAACAGGGACGAAATGCTCAAATCCATCGTAAGGTCCAATGATGCACTTTCACTTCAAAAATTGCCCGATGCAACGCTTCCTTCACCGCACTTGTTCGCCGAACTTGGGTTCATCAGGACTACGGTCCACGCGGTGGCAAACACGTCACTTCCACGCCGCGCGAAAATCTCATACGAGCGAGAAACCTTCTACTTTATTCTAAAAAGAGGGTAAAAGAGAGAAAAATCAGAGCCTCGTCACACATTTTTGTGCTGAGGTGGAAGACGGAGAAAAAAACTTCGGACTAGGTTCCTGTTCATCATGTGGAACACTGAAGTTTTCGGCCGCGGGAATCGAACCAAGCTTCGGATAACCAAAGTCTTCGGTTAAGGATATAAACCCTGCAGCGGCGCACTGTGGATCGAGTCAATGTGAAAGGTTGGACAAAATTTGGAAACTTTAAAAGCTTACAACTCCGTTCATGCAAAACTTAGAGGTTTTAAGAAAGGTTCCATTGGTTTCCTCGTGAAATTTTCTTACAGAGGCACCCCTTAAAATTTGAAATGTGAAGAATTAAATATCAAAATTTGCAGTTTTAGTTTATAGTCTCTTGTCCGACCTCTCTGATTGACTCGATCCACTGTGCGGCGAGGCGGGAATGATCAATTATCGATTTTTCCCCATTTGAAGCTATGATAATGAATCGTTTACTGGGAAGTTTGCTGCGAATACCCTGTCTATCGATCCTTTTCTATCGGTTTATATGGCAGATCAATCGATACAACGCAAAGCACGCCACGCCACGGGCCCTACCGTGTTCATCGTCGTTCCTGGACCAGCACATTTCCTTAGGAGACTCCATTTGGTTTAGATTGTGATTAAGAAAAATTTAAGGAAGCCTCCTAAAACAGCATCATAGAAATGACAATTTATTTTTGCCAACCTCAAGTACAATTCAGCTGTAAAACTTTGGAGTTGGGTCCTTGAATGAGATTACACTGATTTGCCACTACAGAAATTACAAAAGACGAAAGAAAATGCTTTGCGAGCTTTGTAAATTCTAAGATTGGTTCGTACACACCTTAAAGTTTGTCAAAATCAAATAATGTTTACGTCCGTATTTGTGTAATTTTTGCGCATCATTGTCATCCCTTGCGAAGATCCATTTCCAAAATTAAATACTGCTTAATTGAATCAGTGAGAACGAAAACACATCACCAACTCGAAACAAATGAATATAATCAAGAAACATACAAAACTGCGCATCAGGTGAAGAAGTTAGTCTAGGAAAAGGATTTTTGGTGCAGAAAGACAAGTATTTAAAGCTACTTCAAAGGTCCAAGTTAGAACAGATGCGCTAACTTCGATGACCTTCATAAAAACTGACTGTCTTTCATGAAAATTGAGCATTTTTGAGTTGCGAGTTGGTGTGTTTTCGTACTCACTGATTCAATTGCACTCAAGGTTGGCAAAAATGGTCCTTTTTATGATGCCATTTTGATAACATTCTTAAATCTTCCTTAATTACAATGTAAACTAAAGGAGGACTCATAGAGAAAGAAGCTGCTTCAGAAAATGACGCGGTAAAGACCATCTCTAATGGACTGACAAAATCGTTGTAGTTTCATCAACCTTAGTTCGGTTCCTACGATCTCGCACTTAAGTGTTCCATATGAGCCGAAGTTTTTTTCTTCGTGAGTCTCCTCTTCGATGTTTATCGATCGCACCTCTTCGTTGTCTATCGATCGGCAAAATGCTGAAATCGGGATTGACTTAATCCCTTCTTTCGAAGTTGAATCGTCAATGTGAGCTAAAGACATCTACTGCGACTTCTCATGAGATTTTACGTTGGTAAGTCCTAAAACGGCGGTAAAAATATTCCAGGAAACATATCGATTCCTCACATATTATTTTGAGCAGCAATTTAACTACCGCGTATATTTTTTTCGCCACTGTAAGGGTAAACGAATCCATTTTTATAATAGGTTCAGACTGACGTTTCAATTTCCAGGAAATCAATCCAGATTTCAGCTGATTGATCTATACGGGCACGTTAATGTCAAAATTCCGGATCAAATATTTGTCACTTCGTATACTCCAGGTGTCGAGCATTTTTCCCTTCCCAAAAAAGAAAAAAAAAAGAATGTGACGCCGGGAAACGAAATGGCGCAGCAATGGGTGCACATTTTTTCCGGAGGGTAAAGAGGGAGGGAAGTGAAGTAAAATTCGTGAATATTAATTTAGCGGGTGAGTTTGACCTTGTTATGACTTACAAGAGCCCCTTGAAGTTTCGATTTGAGGGAGAATAATCGAGAGCATGCAAGGCGCCTCTGCGTACAGCTTGGTGGACCGGAAGCCCAACTTTTCAGGGTCGCGAAAAGTTGAATTAGAAAAGCACTCGTATACTTTTCAGCCTCGATTATTCTTTTCTTTTCAACGGTCCAATTTCAGTTACAACCCCACTCCCCTCCCCTTCCACTCATCTCAATCAAGGGCCCTCGTCTTCCTCAGAGTCAAAATCGAGGTAGGAGCTGGTTTGACTGGAATGTTTTGACTGGGAAAAAAATTTCAACGTTTCACTGCAAAATGTCCTATTTTTTTAGTGTTAGGAAAAGCTCCCTGTTACATTAAGAATTTGCCACCCTAACTGCCTTTTCAAGAAATAGAGAATTTGCACGAAAAAAATGTATCGCTTCGTGTAAAAGTGCTTAGTAAGATGATTTCGCAGTATTTTACTTGAATTTTTTCTGAGATGGGAAATCGTAGTAAAATAGTTCTAAAAGCGAGAAAATGCACCGCCTAGAGACTTCATCTGGAGTCATTTCTCATTTCCACACGTCTATTTCAGCAAATCAAGTTTTCCTGTCGTTTCTCTTCCGATAGTTGTTCCATTTCGAAACCAAGGATATTCTCGTGTTCAGTTCTCTTAGTAGTTTCGTCAGGAACGTAGAATTTACTAAATTTCAGACACCCGCAAATTCTTCATTGTCGCCTCGACTACTGACAGTAGAATCTACCGGCTACGGAAGTATTGACGAGGAGGGAATCGAATGAATAAAAGGAATAAAACACGATGGGTGCATCGTCGACTGACATTTTAGTGAAGGAGCACGACACACGACACGTCGCACAATGGATCGAGTCAATGGGAAAAGTCGGACAAAATTTGGAAACTTTAAAAGCTCTCAACTCCGTTCATACAAAACTTTGAGGTTCTTAAAGTGGATCTGTCGGTTTTCTCATGAAATTTTCCTCCAGAAACACCCCTCATAGTTAAAAATTTGACGGGATAAACGAGGAAATTTGCAATTTTAGTGAAAAATATTCATGTCCGAGCTCTTGAATTGACTAGATCCACAGTGCGTCGATACGCGGACGTACCTCGTCCGTCTTTATCAGTCTCGGTGCCACTTCTTAGACCACAACTCCTCGTGACCACATTCAACCCCTCGAAGTGCCCTGCACCGAACTAGGACACCTCTATTATCGTGCAACTTTTCCTGCTGCGTCCAGTTTCGGCCTCGATTTGCCGCTTTACCCGCAGAATCGAAATTCTTGTTTCGCCGAACCGGGAAAATTCAATCGTACTCGTTTTTTAGACGACTCGACCATGAGTGGAAAACAGGTGCAAAAAACGGGAAAAAATCGATTGGAGAAGATACTAAGTTTACGATTACTTGAAGATATTTGCGGTTCATGTCCTCCAGCCCCTTAAGAGATACAAACAAACACTGGCACCAAGGTTCCCTCTTCTTCATCTGGGAAGTATGAGCGACTGAAAACTCTGGAGATGGATCGATTTTGAACTGACCGAAATTCGCCGATAACCCGTGGACTTGTTATTATTAACCTTATAAGAGGCACAATTTTTTTTGTTTTTGTTTTTTTAATGAACCGGTGACGTGAATATGTTTAAAAAAAAAAAACCTCCCTGAAACTAAACAATAATGTTAGACAATATATTTTTAAGCGCTAAGCGCAACTTCTCAATTTATTTATTTTTTTTAAAATTTATTTTTATTTATTTTGGATTTTACAAAAACTTAACATTGGCGGACTCTAGGCAGTTCGAGAACAAAATGTACCTGTGGGTTTCGATCGTCTTTATTCCTTTTTTTATTTCGTTTTTTGTTTGTTTTTGTGATTTTGTTTTTTGGTATTTTTTTTGGGTTGTGCCTTGAGCACCCATACTGGTGTCGTCTTTTTTACTGAAATAAACAAACCAAAAACTTTAGTACCACTGCCATCCATAAAGGCAACAACATGCATCAGTGACTTTTTCCAATAATTGAAGGCTATTGGTTACAATCAATGTTTCTCGATTTTTGCACTTCTTCTTCCCTCGGAGTTGGGTCGTTTTGAAACTAAATAATTCAGTTTCGGTGTCAACGTCGAGTAGGAAAAGTTTTTCTTAATTAGAGACATAATGCAGTTGGATCGTGTTCCATTGTTGGTTATTTTTCTCTCTTTCTCTCTCTTTCTATTCCCCTCCTCTTTTTCTGAATTAAAAGCATGACATTGAAAACCGTAAACTTCGTGGAAGAAACCTTCCTGGCTTGAATTTTCTTTCTTTCCTCTGTTTATTGTGGAAAACGTGACCGGTCGATAAGAGCAAAGTAAAAATTTTTAAGACCAACGCAATTCTTCAAACGTGGAATTTAACTCCTCTCAGATAAAGAACCTCAAAGCTCAGCAAAAATTAAGTAAGAGCCTCAGAGGCGAGATCAAGGTAGGTTAGGACTTCAATTCTTGGCAAATAATAACAGTGAGCGCTCTACAGATCAAAGGACATAAATCAGGGACAACTCCGGGTTTCTTAGACTTCTCTTGACCACGCTTTCTTTGGAGGAAACAGCCCTTAACTCAATTTTGACTCGGCGAGAATTAGTTACATTTTCTCGAGAACCCAAGAAGGACAGCGCTCCCAAGGCTTGACTTTTTAAGACTCTATGGGAGGCAGTGGCGTGGCGTGAAGTGCGATATATCGATTGTTATGCCATTTAAACCTATGGTAAAGAATCGATTATTAAGGTGTTCGCTGCGAACACCCTGTTTATCGATTTTTTCCATAGGTTTAAATGGCATATCAATCGATATATCGCAAAGCACGCCACACCACTGATGGGAGAGTGACAAGTTTTCTTGGATCTCAAAATTTCCTGACCCTTCCACGACTTATTCAGGGTTTTCAACATAAAATTTCCTGGCTTATCCACGACTCCCGCAATTTTTTTATACTTAGGGGAAGGGGGGATACACATCTCATGAATATTCTTTTCACAAAGAATTCTTGGCATCAAATCTCTGGAAATTGAAAGAATTCAACATTTAAGAACTTAATTGATGGAAGTCCTCATTTCCAAGAATACAGCTTGTGGGTGCGGTAGAAAATTATCGGTTGGAAGAGAAAAGTTCAAAGTTCCGCAGCGAATTCTCCTGACTTTTTAGGGTGGGGTATACATTTTTTGAGTTTTTAAGGTTTTCGATGACTTTTCAAACTAAATGTCAGCAAAATTTGAGTGATAACTACAAAAAAATCTATGTTCCGGACTCAATTTTTGCTAGAAGGAGGCCAAAAGCAACACATTGAGCTTCTAAGTGAAACAAAAAAAAAGTTCTTTTGGCGGCTGACAAAATTTGTTCCTAAGTTATCTTGTTTGAATAATGTTTTTTCACGTTTGGTACTAAAAATTGAAGAAAAAAAATCTAAGAAGGAAAACCAAGTGTCACTTGACTCAATTTCAACATTTTACTCGACTCTTAATTTCTTTCAGAGCAAGGAAAGGAACTAGGCTCCAATAAACATTGAAAAAATGATAATTTTTTCAACAAATTGACTGTTTCTGAGCCATAATAAACAAACATGAGATACTATCGTTCATTAGTGTGAAAACCTTGCGCACAAAAAATGTATTTACCAAGATTGATGCAAGGCATTTTGGATCCATGGGAATTTTGGACGATCAGACTACTAATATTCTCTCTCTCTCATCAAACGTATTTTCTCCTTTTACGCTGAACGTTTCTTAAGTATATTTACTTGTCCTTATCCTTGCAAACTAACTGTCCAGAATCGCGAAAGAAATACTTGGCTACTGCTTGCGGGCTTGATAGTCCGGGCTTGGAATTTTGCAAAAAGAGAGAAGAAAGAAAAAAGGATAGCTAAGTCAGGTAGAGAAAGGGTACACTCAATCGTTGCGAATGTGCATACGTACAAAAACCCAACTAAGAACCGAAAAGAAAATCGGTCATCCGATGAAATAGGTACATTCAATAAAACCAAAATTCCGGAGCACCGGGAAATTTTCTCGGAATTGTATCGCAGTTAAATAACAAAACTAAAAAGCGCGTGGTTTCAATTTCGATTATACAGTGCGGCAAATTCAAAAACGCGCAACCCGAAGGATCCACAGAACTACGCGGATAATCTACACCGATCTTCCGAAAATCGCAGCGACGCCGCTGAGACGAGCGATCAAATCCAGAAGCTAGCTTCGACTACACGGAAAATTTGCGGCCGGATCTTCGCACTGACAGGATTTTTGGGACCAAAATCCGAGATCGAGATCGGGATTTCGACGGGGAGAGGCGCGGACGATAAAGCGGGCGACCAGGCGCGGAGCCGGTAAAAAACTAGCGGTAGCGGCGGACGCCGCGACGCCGCGCCGCTCGGCGTCGAGCGCGGGGGGCACTGGAGGGGGGACGTGGAGGGCGATGGGGGCGCCACCTGGGCCTGACCAAGGGAACTAGGAACTGACTGTGTCGACTGCAGCTTCGCCGCGTCGCGTCGATGCCGCCGGTGCATCCGATACCGAGAGTAGAGTTGCCTAGGTCAGGGACGCCGCCGACGCCCTCGGACGCGGACGACGCAGAGTGCGTCCCGACGACGCGACGTGACGTGCGGCTAGCCGGCTCCGGCGCTTCACACGCTACTCGGATTAAGAGTAGAATGCACGGATTGGCTCGCGGCGACGCGGCATGCGAAAGTAACGTGTTCGATGGTGGACGGTAGAGTCCCTTTATACCCAGAGTTAAGACAACTCACTTTTGGCTACCTTTTGGTTGGGCTGAAAGTGGCCTAAAAAAAATCCAATTCTGATTGGTTCTCGCTCATGGAGTCGCAAACGAGTGCACCAAGATGGCGGTGACTCGAATGTGAACAAAAATAATGATGATATTACCTGATGGAGATGTTGCATGTGTGAGGGATTTGCGATTTAACTGTTGTTTCGTATGTAAAAGTTCGCGAGAAACACGACGGTGCCACTGGTTTTCTCTGAAATCATCTCCCAAGCTCAAAAAAAGCTCTCAAGTTGAGGCCAAAATGGAGGGGATATCCCACCCTACCTCGAGAGTTCACCTCTACATCAAAACAAACTCTCCATACAAAGATAGGGAGCAAATACATTAGCAGGGTTGCCGTGTTTTCAGTTTCAGAGTCCCCAAATAAAGTGGCAGCCCTGTCAATGTATTTTCTCCCTATCTTCGCATGGAAAGTTTGTCTTGATGTAGAGGTGGACTCTCAGGATAGCGTGGGATATCCCCTCCATTTTGGCCTCAACTTGAGAGCTTTTTTTGAGCTCGGGAGATGATTTCAGAGAAAACCAGTGGCACCATCGTGTTTCTCGCGAACTTTTACATAAGAATCAACAGTCAAATCGCAAATTCTTCACACATGCAACAACTCCATTCTGATACGCTAGAGTAGATAACCGATTAAAAAAACGAGGACGACGATGAAGAGGAAGAACCAAGAAGACAAGGAAATAACTGGAAATTTAAGAAAATGAAAGAAGTGAAAAATGTTGGTGCCCCACGTGATTGCGTGCATTTCGCGCCCCTCTCGGCGGCACGGGTCTGATCTGGAAGCAGATGGTCCAACGCCCAACGCCGCGAATTCATTCGAGGCCGCCATTGAGCGTAAAAACTTGACACTGATCGAACTATTACGTTGTGACGTGATAGCGTAGTGCAAAAAATGTTTACGATGACAATCCCGTTGTTTCGTCATCAGCGTGATATTTGCAGTCATTTCGTCCTCCGCTTAGATGCCTCGATAGAAAAATCACGCTGAACACAATGATCATAAAAGTAGCTTTACACCTTACGGATTTGGAAATTTTGGCTAGTCCATCCAAGTATTGACGTAAGACACTTGGGGAGAAGGGGGGGGGCTAAGACTGCAAACAGTGCAGCCGTCGTTAAACGTATATTAGCGCCTGCAAGACTGTAGGAATACCTCACATATTGCGTCAAACAATGCGGTCGGTGTACAGCCCATATCAGCGCCTACAAGACTGCATGAATACTTCTCGCATTGCGCCAAACGCAGTGTAGTCGGTCAAGCGCCTACAAGAATGTATAGGACTGCGAGTCATCATTTTTGACTTTCTGCTGAAGTTTTTACCATAATTAAAGGGGACATATGTATCCTCATTGTAACGATTCAGAAACTCGGATGATATTTAATTTTGTTTTGGTTACGTTAAAAGAAAATACTTAGAACGAACGAAAGCAACCCGTCGAAATTACCGATACTTTTATTTGAGATCATTTAGGTTAATTCTCGGAAACTTTTCAGAAAAACTGTATGTAGCTTTTTAAAAATATATATTAAAAATAAAACATGAATCGCAGGTGAAAAGGTGCATAACGTTGCAATCAGAGATAAATATACGTTTTCTTCCGGGTGCACCCGTCGGGTTTTGAAAAAGTTCATCTCTTAAAAAACTTGAACATGGTTCTTTTAGGATTTTTACGTGTAGTTTTTTATCAGTAGTGGGTGGCCAGAGACCCCTAGTTCACTTTTTAAATGTCTACGAAAGCTCTCTGAGTTATTTGCGCTAAGAGGGCCATCCGTCGAAGAGAGACATGCCCGTAAATGAATAGGGAAGGAACAGTCTTTCACGGTGTAGCTATCTACCACGAGCTACCGAGGTTGCATATTTGACTCAACTAAGGCTAAAATCAAACTAAAAAACTCAGATTCGCTTACGTCTAATTGTCAGACTAGTTTCGGGAGCTTCAATCGTCTCCCATCTTCAGTGGTTGTTGACTTTTGTGTTGTGTGTTGACTTTTTTTTAATTGCATATTTGACGCTTGCTCGGCGAATACTGAATATTCGCGCAAGCGTGTGAGTTTTCAGTGTCAAAGAAATTCGGGCAAATCTATGCTTATCCAAAAAGGTAAAAGAGGGGGCATTCGCGCAATTCTATCGCAGCCCTCCGTTTCCGACATTTCCAGAGGTTTTCCCACGAATGGCAGCCCAGCTACCCCAGGGTGACTACTAAAACAGTCTGGTCGAAAATAAGAACTTTTAAAGTACTTTTGCAGTACATTCTCAAGAAATTCAGTACCTTCTCCGACAGGAAAATTCCGTACTTTTTCAGTACCTCCATTTGACAAAATTTGAAATTCCGACAAAAATTTAAAAAAATTCCGGACCTTCTTGCGGAATTTCCGCACTTTTTCAGTAGAAGGGGCATTCTCGCAATTCTATCGCAACCCTCCGTTTCTGACATTTACAAAGGTTTTCCCACGAGTAGCAGCACAGCTACCCCAGGGTGTCTACTAAAACAGGCTGGTCGAAAATAAGTTCTTTTATAGTACTTTTTCAGTACATTCTCAAGAAATTCAGTACCTTCTCCGACATAAAAATTCCGTACTTTTTTAGTACCTCCATTTGACGAAATTTGAAATTGCGACAAAAATTTAAAAAAGTTCCGGACCTTTTTGCGGGATTGCCGTACTTTTTCAGTACTTCCGGATCGCCCATAAAAATCATATTAATTATCATTATTAATCATTATATTTCCGGACTTCCGGAAATTCCGGACTTGTAAACCCCCTGTACCCTCAACCAAGAGGGGTTTTCCGAGCCGAAAGGTGAGAAAATTAGGTATTCTAAGCGGTGTGGAAGGTGGTTCATTTGACGAAATTAAAAATCGCGACAAAAATTAACAAAAATTCCGGGCCTTTTTGCGGAGTTTCCGCACTTTTTCAGTACTTCCGGATCGCCCATAAAAAATCATTACTATTTCCGGACTTTCCGGAAATTCCGGACTTGTGGACCCCCTGTACCCTCAACCAAGAAGGTTTTTCTAAGCCGAAAGGTGAGAAAATTAGGTATTCTAATCTGTGCACTGAAAAAAAATTCTCGGCGTTTTTACCACGGTTCGTTGGTACCTTTACCATCTCACTTTTTTACCAATTATTGGTAATTTTACCAAGACAGACTGGTAAGCTTACCTAAAAACCGGTATTTTCACTGTTTTTTCCAGGTAAGAATACCACTTTTATTGGTAATACATTCCCGGTAACTTTACCATTTTATCTCGGTAATTCTACCACAGTCGATAAAAAATATTAGCGTTTTTACCGGGGTCCAGTATAATTACCGAGAAAGTTCAATAATTTTACCGAGATAATTACCAATTTCATAAATGGTAATTTTATCAAGAAAAAACTGGGATCAAATAGAACCCTGAAATCTTGGTAATTTTACCCTTTTCTTAGTAAATACACCGAGATTTTTTTTTTCAGTGTACTATTTCCGGACTTGTAGACCCCCTGTACCCTCAACCAAGAAGGTTTTTCCGAGCCGAAAGGTGTAAAAATGAGGTATTCTAAGCGGTGTGGAAGGTGGATCTTACCTGCGATGAGTCTGGTTGACGGGGGGTGTGAGGCTGAGGCTGTCCCCGGAGCCGGAGGGCGAGGTCTCCTCCTGCTCCTGGTCGGCCTCCTGGTCCACGTCTTGGTCCTGGTCCAGGTCGTCCGGGTCCCGATCGTCCGGCGAGTCCACGCTCACCGTCCGCGCCACCCGCGCCACCCCCGCCGGGGGCGCCACCGTCGTCGCCGTCTTGAGGCCGTCGTCCACCGACACTAACGACTCCTCCTCCATCTGAGAACAGAATGTCACAAATGAAACGTCGAGCAATCGGAGTAGAGAAACCCGAATGAGGCATGCATGGGGCAGCTGCGCTGGACATAAAATCGTATTTTGATTGGAAGGTATGGATTCGATCGACACCGAATCGATCGACGCCGATCGAAAAACCAGGGAATCGATCGACAAACTCGTGAATCGATCGACAAGTTCATGAATCAATCGATCGACAAACTCGTGAATTGATCGACAACTCCGTGAATCGATCGATAAACTCATGAATTGATCGACAACTCCGTGAATCAATTGCCAAACTCGTGAATTGATCGACAACTCCGTTAATCGATCGACAACCTCGTGAATCGATCGACAAACCCGTGAATCCGTCGACAAACCCGTGAATCAATCGACAACTCCATGAATCAATCGACAACTCCGTGAATCGATCGATCAACTCGTGAATTGATCGACAACTCCGTGAATCAATTGCCAAACTAGTGAATTGATCGACAAACCCGTGAATCGATCGACAAACCCGTAAATCGATCGACAACTCCGTGAATCGATCGATAAACTCGTGAATTGATCGACAAACCCGTGAATCGATCGACAAACCCGTGAATCGATCGACAACTCCGTGAATCACTCGACAAACCTGTGAATAAATTGATCACATTTTGTCGATCGGCTCACGGTTTTACGTTTCGATCATTA